CCCGTGTGATTATGGCATCAGCAGAATTTGTGGAATTGTGGGGGAGGGGGGGGACTGAGCTGCGTCCAGGAGACCACTTCTGGGGGACTTGTATGTATTGATGGATGCGGATAACGGCCTAAATTTGACATCGATGTTTGAGCACTCCTCTCATCCGCAGAGACGGTCAATACATCGGAGACATCAACAACAGGGCCATTTCTAAAAGGAGTTCCACCGTTTTCTAAAATTCTCATCAAAATAAAATTGATTAATGTTCGAATTAACTATATTTAACAATCACAATTATGGGGTTATTTATTTCAAAGTACAATTTGTAAACAGGGCTTTGCGTGTGTGTGGGGGGGGGCGTATTGGGGGGTCAGGCTGGTATTTTTTACAAACGTGTTCCACCTTCGTGTGGATTCATTAACGCCCCACTGTTGCCAGCAACCTCTCGGACAGGACTCGGCAAGCAGAATAACAAGAAGGGTCATTTTGTTCGAATTCGGTAAAAACAGGAAATCAATACCCCACGATCCGCAATGCACTGGCGTGGTGGCCCTGAATCAACAAACTGTCTCGAAGCAGCGGTCCTTGAAGAGCAGCCGCACGCGTCTCGCGTGCCGCACGCTGCTGCCGAGCCCTGCTCTGGGACACTGGCCACGTCAGTCGATGCCGCGTCGACTTCGGATTTGTAAACGCGCCGACGTGACGCCATTTACCGATGTCAAACACTGCCCACCGAGGCAACGCTTCTCGAGTCACAGTGCATCTCGTCTCGCCTGACTTTTACAGGGATGGAGTCGATACCGACACGAGCACACGCGCGCTGCAATTTCAAAGGCTCCGACGCTGGAAAGGCTACAATTGAAATGGGTGTGATCATCATCATCATCAGCCGTGATGTTTCCACTGCTAAATGAAGGTCTGCCCAAGCTGTAGCGACATAAACCATGATGCAATAAACAGGACATTCTTGGATGTATTGACTCAAATAAAGCTCCGTATTTACAAACTTGTGGTCATCGTTCAAGCCAAAAGTCAAAGTGCTATATGTGCTGGAATAAGTGCCTTAGCGGTGCCTTTCTCTGTGGCCGTGAGCTCGTGGTGGAAATTCCATATTGCCATCGCTCCATGTGATGCCACTGTTGGCTTGGTACATTGCCAGGGTCGTTGTTATCGTGGGGGACTTTAACTCGTGACATCTCATGCACAGTCTTCAGTATTGATGTATTTACCGAGGAAAGCCTCAGCCGTGGCTTCTTCGGGAGAGCCCTGCTGGTCAGTTCCCACTTGTGTAGGTTGTAGACACGTGACAGCGTCCTTCGCTCGCCTCACAACTTCATTGTGGATTTCCCCGTATGCATCCCTTGCCACCGGTTGCGCTCGACTTTGTTTACAAGGGTCGTGTTCACCCCATTAGCCACAACGTAACGTGAGTATTCTGTATGCGTTTGGTTAACGCACATGGTCGATTGATTCTCCTCGCACGCGTGATGCAGCGCGCGTGTGTGCAATGGCGAGTGTGTGTGTGCGTAATGGTGTGCGTGTGTGCTGTGTGCGTGTGTGCGTGTGTGTGTGTGCGTGTGTGTGCGTGTGCGTGCGTGTGTGCGTGTGTGTGTCTGTGCGTGTGCGTGCGTGTGTGCGTGCGTGTGTGCGTATGTGTGTGCGTGTGTTCGTGCGTGTGCGTGTGTGCGTGTGCGCGCGTGTGTGCGTGTGCGTGTGTGCAATGGGGAGCGGGGAAGCGGAGCCGCGTCTTGGCACGGCTGGTGAGTTCGTGTCGGGAGGAAGGAGCGGCGCTTGGGGGGAGGACACTCAGCGCACGTTGGGTGAGACCCCCCCCCCCTCGTCTGCTGTGGGGGTCGCGCCGCGAGTGTTCGTGGTCATCACGTCCACCTCATATGCCAAAGGTCTTCCGTTCGAAACCGGGTGGAAGCATGGATTACATTTACTTTGGTTTAACACGGAGGCTTTCGCGACCAATATTATCCATAATATTCTTGGTAAATGTTGTGGGTTTACTCTCCAACACACTGGGGTGCTGAACTAGTCACGAATTGGCACATTTTGTTTTCGTGACAACCCTTACCAGTCGCCTGTGTCGTGTGGCGGTGGGTTTAACGACACATTTACATTTACGCGATATAACCCCAAAACAAACCCTAAATTATGGATACATATACTTTGAAAGTCATGCCGATCAACCAACGCGCAGCACAACCCCCAAAACACATCAGATATTTGGATACAGCACAGTTGCAGAAAAACCTATTCAGATGTTAAATCTGTAAAAATCCTGCAGGGGAAGGAAGGTGATGGTGATAGTTGCTGTTACTCCCTTCTACAGGTGGATCTCCCCCACAGACGAGAAGACCCGTGCACTGATCAATCGATCCTGCCTCCAGATCGCCGGATTATCGGCAGGGTGCTACTAAGACAGAGAGGCGACACCGCGAGCGTGATGATGAAAACCTCCAGCCTCGAGAAGTGGCAGAGACGGATGGCTAATGAGGAGTCATTTATATAGGACTTACTGTAATTATATAGGGTTTACTGTAATTATATAGGGTTTACTATCATTGTATAGGGTTTACTGTAATTATATAGGGCTTACTATAATTGTATAGGGCTTACTGTAATTATATAGGGCTTACTATAATTATATAGGGCTTACTATAATTGTATAGGGCTTACTATAATTATATAGGGCTTACTATAATTGTATAGGGCTTACTGTAATTATATAGGGCTTACTATAATTATATAGGGCTTACTATAATTATATAGGGCTTACTATTATTGTATAGGGCTTACTATGATTATATAGGGTTTACTGTAATTATATAGGGTTTACTATAATTGTATAGGGCTTATTATAATTGTATAGGGCTTACTGTAATTGTATAGGGCTTACTATAATTGCATAGGGCTTACTATAATTATATAGGGCTTACTGTAATTATATAGGGCTTACTATAATTGCATAGGGCTTACTATAATTATATAGGGCTTACTATAATTATATAGGGCTTATTATAATTGCATAGGGCTTACTGTAATTGTATAGGGCTTACTATAATTATATAGGGCTTACTATAATTGTATAGGGTTTACTGTAATTGTATAGGGCTTACTATGATTATATAGGGCTTACTATAATTCTATAGGGCTTACTGTAGTTGCACAATGGGACGCTCACGCGTGGCGCCCCTATTCTCGAACATATTTGAAACAGCGGGACATAATTCATTTGGTCTATTATATTTGTTTGCGTGATGAGTGGCACTTTCCGCTTGTGCAATCTTCTCCGGTTTAAAGTCTCAATGAGTCTCCGAATTAAAACGTACCACCCCCCCCCCCCCCCCCCCGAGACCAAGATTCGATCCCATGTTTTCAGCCGACTAATGATACGACTATTAATATTAATACTGCTTGGACAACAGCAGCCGGTGGTGCCTCGGCAAGAGGAGTCCAGAGGTGTGTGGCGGCTTCAGCCGGGAAGTGGTGTGAGACGCAACGAGAGTGTTGATTGAGTTGCGGGACGTGGGTGGACTGCCATTCAAAGTAAAAGCATCAATCAAGACAATTTTTCCTTCCAGGAACCTACAGACTAATGGATGTCGCGGACTTTTACGGCGTTAGGGAGAGTAGTAATCTTTACCTGTCGTGCTTTTGTGCAACCTGCATTTTTGTTTAGTTGTTTGACAATTGTATACTCCCGTTACAGACTGGTACATTGTGCATCACACAGACGCGTCTAGCAACGTCTCACCGAGTGCGCCTCTCGTATTCAATCAGCATCCTCATGGATTTGTATTTATTTCATGCAATGCACTCATTGTCGGGGAGAGTGGCGTCACCCGCGGGCTCCATTCCTTCTGCGGGAGCTGCTTCCACGACGTCCGTGCGTGCGGCAGCCAGAGACTGCCGCGCTCGCGATGAGACGGCCCCTACTTCGCATCGTCCACTGCGCGTGACAGAATCACGAGCGAGACAACTCGGCCACAGCATGCATGACAGTAATTGTTCAACACTCATCATACTTTCAACAGTGGGGGAGGGGGGGGGGTGACGACACACACTGGGGTTACGGCGCACGACAGAACCAGGGCAGGCCTTCATCCGCAGCAGGCTGACAAAGCGCTGCAAGTTGTGATCATGATCATGATCAATAGCTGTGCATTCTATAGAGAGGGAATGACTCAGCCTGTCGTCCCTCTGGGATTCATACATTTATCAGCAACCCTCTCTACAGTGGCGATTCCATAGGACAGACTTGCCCCTGCCATGGGAATGTGCAATTTCCATCAGCACCTCTGGACTGGTAGCAGAGACGAGCACTGCTCGATTGCCGATTTGAATCGGGAGACAGTTTCACTTTGACGGGACTTTGCAGAAAATAACAAGATTGCAGGTTCCACTGCTGCTCAGAGGCACCGCGAAACATAAGTGGACACGTCTCATTTCTATCAAACGTGTCTACTTAAACAAAACACACCGAAGCGGACGGGGCAAGATGGAAACGCGTCTCGTTCTAAACAAGTCGCGCGACGCCTCGACCATGTCGCGCGCGAACGCAAAAGGCGAGAACGCGGCTCACGCAGAACATTGCCTCGTTCGCCTCCAACTCAACTCGGCTCAGCTCCTCCTCAGCCTGGATGAGAACACCTGCCCTTACATTAAGAATAATGAGCACCCTGCCGCCACTCAAGCCCACGTGTGTGTGTGTGTGTATATAATCATCGTGTATAGTGTTCTATGAATGCTCGCCAGCAGCGTGAGGGGTCTCCAATGCGCACTGCGCTCTGCGCTTCGAACGCGTGCCGCGTGCGAGGCGCGTGGCCTCGAGCGCTCGAGACAATCTCCTCGTGTTCTATTGTTGCAGTGGCTGAGCCCAATTGGGATGGGGGGGGGGGCTGTCTTCTTCGTAAGGATGACGTCGACGTCGACCAACAACTGTGATTTTACATTGAGGCGGTCTAAAGCAAGTAACTGCGTGAGGAGCAAGCGGAGTGGTGTGTCGCTGCTGTGATTACCTGCTCTGTGTCTGTGAAGTGATGCCCCGCGGCCTATTCTGGGTGACCGCAGCCGCACACCGATGATTGTTGTAAGAATGTCTGTGGTTAGTGTCAGAGACTTCACACCAGCAGCGCCGAGAATCCGAGTTTCTATCCAGATTTAAGCTGCAGGAACACGCACAAAGATACATGCAGGCGACAATTTAACAGCGACAAGAGACACGCTGCATGCTGCTGCTGCTGCTACCGCTGCATGGAGGTGATTGGGTGGCTTAGGTGTCACAGCATAGAGCCGGAATCCTGGGTTCTAATCTGGACAATCCCGCTGTGATTCAAATGGTTTCTCAAGTACAGAAAGTATATGGCACAAAGTCAACGATCCCCCCATGCAGCCTTAACAGGCGGCTGAAGGAAGTGCTGTTAGCGAGTAACAGCACCTATGAAGGCCGGAACAGCACACGAGGGGGTGGGTGGCCAGCACGGCACCCGGCTGCCTTCGTCTCCCCAGTGGCGATGATTTACACATCGCACTCGGGCTGAGTCGACCTAGGGGAGGCCCACGACCGGTTCAGACAATCGTCACTGGTGTTGGCCGTGTGCGCGAATCGAACTCGGGTCTCACCATCATGTAACATTTGTTTTGTCCGAGATCGACAAATTGTCGTTTGACGGGCAGGCGACAGCAGCACGCGCTCTGTGCAGGGCGCGGTGGCTGCTCTCAGCTGGAGCGCGACCCGGGCGGGCGGTGTTCTGACAGTCGCGTTCCTGCTCGCAATCAACACCGCCCTGCGAGTGCACAGGATCCGTCACGCGCCGCCATTGACAACAACAACAACAACACGTACATCGCATCCTAAACGTATTGAGCGAACAAATTGTAAATGTGCACAATGTCATCTTCAACAAGACGCACACGATGGGAAACTTCGTGGCCGGCGCCTTACTGAGAATGTCGGTCTGGGCTCCACCTCGCAAGGCTTGTTGGGTCTCGCCGTGAGAGCACGGCCCTTGCATGCATTTGTTGTCCAATAGGAATGTTTGCTATCAATCTGAGACATTTTACGTGAAACAAAGAAGTAAACACCCGAGATCCGATCGCAGGCGGGCGCTCCACGTATATTGTCGGCACGTCGCACGGTCGTGAGACTTGGTGGGTTACATGGAGAAGGGGGGCCTTCATCCAGCAGTGGATTTACCGTGGCTGCGACTGCTGCTGCTGATGATGATGAAGAAGTCACAAAAACCCATATTCGTGCGATGCCTGTTGCTGGTGTTGGCGATGCTGCAGCAGCACAACGTGAGACAGATCCCCCTTCGATCGCGGGACATTCACACAATTCGCACGGCCAATGTGTCGTCACTGCGATAGTCGGCAACGTCAGCACGTCGCTGTGTTGTTCCAACGGCGGCTTGGAGTGGTCGGGGTGGAGGGAGAGAACCTTCCCCCCCACCTCCCCCCAACTTGAAGCACGTGTTTTGTTGGCGTGCACAGCGCGCGTTACAAAGTAAACAAGCAAACAAGCTTTGATTTAATTGGCGTGTTCTCTCCCTTCGGTGTGCGTGCAGCTGAAACCGTGATTAGTGATTGATTGCACGCAAAGTCTGCACGTGCGTGGAATTCCACGCCGGTTGGAATTCATTCTCAAGTCGTCGTCGTCGTTGCCGTTGTTGTGTTTATTCAACGCGTCCCAGGTCTCTCAAAATCCAATTCCTTGTGCCAATTAAGGCCGATGTGGTGCCATTGGTGGCACAATGCCCCTGCCGATGCGAGTGGCTCGCTGGTTCGGTACCATCCTCGAGCGCAGCAGTCACAACACACGCCTGTGGACGTTTCTCAAGTCCCTTCGGCAGCCCGTGTGTCCACGCAGCAGGATCATCAGCAGCAGCAGGTTGTGCGGGAACACCACGGCGAGTTGACCCGCAGCGGTGGGGTCAAGTGTGGGTACTCTCACGCGTCGCAGAGCGCCTGGCAAACGTGGAAGAGTAGACCAAATACTGGCTCGGGCTCCCCCTAGTGGATGCCCTTCTGACAGCAGTGGCGCCAGTGAGCCATCGCAGGGCTGCGCCTTCGGCCTGTATGTTAAATGGAAGTAATTTGACAAGTCAATCGATGGCAAACGAATTCAGACGTCCTTACAAACCCACAATAAACCTACTCGGGAATACGATACACGTGTTTACGCTTCTCATATTTATCCTCATAAACAATTTAGATGCAGGGAAATAAATGTTTAGTTGAAATTCAATGGATTCAAACCGATTGTAATAATAGTAATATATAATTATAAATCACAGCCCTATGTCAATCCACTGCTGGATGAAAGCCACTCCGTGGGGGTTGTTTGACTATACTTCACTTTTCTGGTCAGTTAAAGTTGGCAAATAGGTTTGCCGTGACGAGTTCTCACCGATCTGTTCGAACTCATCGAACTCGCCATTGATATAAGCCATGGCCTGGATTCGAACTCAAGTTCCGCTTACCACCGTGTCACCACTTCTGTAATCAGGACGCTACTTGAAGGACAATGCGTGAACCATCGTTCACGGCACAGCGAGTGGCTGTTACAGATACACCGCGACGATTTGGATACAGCAATGAAAGTCACTCAACTTACACGACCACGTATACTCGAATAAGCAATTTTATTTCGCCATCTTCATAGCGGAATCCAAAGTAATTGTTCGTCAGACTCTGCAGCAGAACTCTCGCCCGTGACAAAGTGATTAAGCCGGCAAAATGGAATAAATGATGGGAACGGTTCACGGATTGTGCCAAGACAACGTTGAAGACCGGATCGATGTTGTGTGTGAGGGGGAGCGGTGGCGCAGCTGTTGGCACACTCCTCTGCGAACCCGGTCGACTCCCCAATCGGGTCAACGTCAGTGGCGAGGAGTGATGCCTGGACCAGTCCCGGGTTCCCCTTCACCAACCCGCATTGGCCTGCGTGGTGAAGTATGGTCAAACAACTCCCATGGCAAAGTCAAAAGTCGATTGATTTCCAGCTGAGTCCGTGCTGGATATTCCACATTCCTATGTTGAGGGTGATTGTATCCATGACATGACAACCAATATGACCACTGTTAACTTCCACACAATGGTACCTGGTTTATCGATCAGGGAGGGACGATGGGGTGATGGGCTGAGCCAACCCCAACCCACAATTTGAACTCGGCAATCTTACTGTCGCGAGTCGTGCGCTCGGCCGCTGAGCCACCAGGCCTGGCAGCACGAACAAAGGCCTGCACATTAGTACCAGTACTATTACCAGTACTATTAGTATTACTAGTATCAGTACTATTACCAGTATGATTATTATTATTGAACAAACCGTGTGGTGTTTGTCACATGAGTGGGTCCTTGTGTGCCGGGTGACCTGGCCAAAAGTTGTAGGCCCGAACTCAGATACTACATCTCGACATTCTGTCCACGTGGGTGCCTCACGATGCCAATTAGCCCCCTCTGCTCAGCTGGGAGAAATTCCCCGCCTTAAAGAGATGCAGCCCAATTCTTAGTTACGTCGACAATGGTGATGACGTTTCAACAACCATTTTACCGGAAAGTGAGGCTTCAAATTAAACACCTACACCATCCTTGCTGTGCAAGCGGCAGCAGCAGCAGCAGCACTGTTGTGAGAAATGGACTTCAAACTTCACACAGGAGTGTAACAGGGATTCACTTGACGCCTTCTGCTCCCCTCGCTCAACAGCTCTATTCCCTGGCACGAGTGTTTGGTAGCGCAGGATGGGAATTCGTACCATCGACTCTGCCGGCTGTTTTCACGCCGCCTGCAGCCACAGGGGACGCTTCAACGATGGCCACGTGTGACAGAGAGCTGCAGAATTGTAACCGTATGATGGAATGTACTCCTTCTTATACAATTACCTACCATTACATTTTGTATAATTTATTGTTCTTTTTCAAAATTGTATGAGAACTGTGCCATCAGCAACATATCACAGGTATCCATGTTTATATTCTTAGGGTTTTTCGGTAAAGTCACGTAGGTAAAAAATTAAAATGAATAAAAGTAAAATAAAAATAAAATAAAAATCACGACGTTTCGGAGGCAACACAAGCTTCCGTCTTCAGGTGGAACCGTCACAGCACGATAGCTGTATCAAGTGAGAGAAATTCCAAGAAACAGTATTTGTATATATACTGGTTGAGGGTGGGAGGATCCATCTTTGCCAAATTCTGAAATAACCTGCAAATTACTCAATTGTGATCACACAATCGCCTCCTACAGGCAGCCGAAAGCCCAAGGCGACTCTCGCAAATGAGACGCATCCTGCTCTCTTGAGTTCTCACCACCTGGTGAAACGGTTCGCATAAGTAGATGTCATAGAAGTGCTGCTGAAATTCCTTCCATTGCCTCTGTTAATCACTGATTAGGGCGCGCACTTTCATTGCCTCTGTTAAACACTGATTAGGGCGCGCACTTTCATTGCCTCTGTTAAACACTGATTATGGCGCGCACTTTCATTGCCTCTGTTAAACATTGATTAGGGTGCGCACTTTCATTGCCTCTGTTAATCACTGATTAGGTCGTGCACTTTCATTGCCTCTGTTAATGACTGATTAGGGCGCACACTTTCATTGCCTCTGATAAACACTGATTAGGGCGCGCACTTTCATTGCCTCTGTTAATGACTGATTAGGGCACACACTTTCATTGCCTCTGATAAACACTGATTAGGGCGCGCACTTTCATTGCCTCTGTTAAACACTGATTAGGGCGCGCACTTTCATTGCCTCTGTTAAACACTGATTAGGGCGCGCACTTTCATTGCCTCTGTTAAACACTGATTAGGGCGCGCACTTTCATTGCCTCTGTTAAACACTGATTAGGGTGCACACTTTCATTGCCTCTGATAAACACTGATTAGGGTGCACACTTTCATTGCCTCTGTTAAACACTGATTAGGGCGCGCACTTTCATTGCCTCTGTTAAACACTGATTAGGGCGCGCACTTTCATTGCCTCTGATAAACACTGATTAGGGCGCGCACTTTCATTGCCTCTGTTAAACACTGATTAGGGCGCGCACTTTCATTGCCTCTGATAAACACTGATTAGGGCGCGCACTTTCATTGCCTCTGATAAACACTGATTAGGGCGCGCACTTTCATTGCCTCTGATAAACACTGATTAGGGCGCGCACTTTCATTGCCTCTGTTAAACACTGATTAGGGCGCGCACTTTCATTGCCTCTGATAAACACTGATTAGGGCGCGCACTTTCATTGCCTCTGTTAAACACTGATTAGGGCGCGCACTTTCATTGCCTCTGTTAATGACTGATTAGGGCGCACACTTTCATTGCCTCTGATAAACACTGATTAGGGCGCACACTTTCATTGCCTCTGTTAAACACTGATTAGGGCGCGCACTTTCATTGCCTCTGTTAAACACTGATTAGGGCGCGCACTTTCATTGCCTCTGTTAAACACTGATTAGGGTGCACACTTTCATTGCCTCTGATAAACACTGATTAGGGCGCGCACTTTCATTGCCTCTGTTAAACACTGATTAGGGCGCGCACTTTCATTGCCTCTGTTAAACACTGATTAGGGCGCGCACTTTCATTGCCTCTGTTAAACACTGATTAGGGTGCACACTTTCATTGCCTCTGTTAAACACTGATTAGGGCGCGCACTTTCATTGCCTCTGTTAAACACTGATTAGGGCGCGCACTTTCATTGCCTCTGTTAAACACTGATTAGGGCGCGCACTTTCATTGCCTCTGTTAAACACTGATTAGGGCGCGCACTTTCATTGCCTCTGTTAAACACTGATTAGGGCGCGCACTTTCATTGCCTCTGTTAATCACTGATTAGGGTGCACACTTTCATTGCCTCTGTTAAACACTGATTAGGGTGCACACTTTCATTGCCTCTGATAAACACTGATTAGGGCGCGCACTTTCATTGCCTCTGTTAATCACTGATTAGGGTGCACACTTTCATTGCCTCTGTTAAACACTGATTAGGGTGCACACTTTCATTGCCTCTGTTAAACACTGATTAGGGTGCACACTTTCATTGCCTCTGTTAAACACTGATTAGGGTGCACACTTTCATTGCCTCTGATAAACACTGATTAGGGCGCGCACTTTCATTGCCTCTGTTAAACACTGATTAGGGCGCGCACTTTCATTGCCTCTGTTAAACACTGATTAGGGCGCGCACTTTCATTGCCTCTGTTAAACACTGATTAGGGCGCGCACTTTCATTGCCTCTGTTAAACACTGATTAGGGCGCGCACTTTCATTGCCTCTGTTAATCACTGATTAGGGTGCACACTTTCATTGCCTCTGTTAAACACTGA